AAGCCCTTCCCTGTGTGGGGAAGCTGGCACCATGGAGAGGGGACCTAGTCACATGGGTCCCAGTGTGAGCTCGGAGTTGCTTACTCTTCCCCTCTCCCTTGGGTTCCTGAGCTGTCCTGGCATGCCCAGCCTCTCATGTGATGGCCCACTCACTCCTAGCCCCTGACAGTTGACAACACTTGGGCTCTCCTGAGTGTGGGACCTTGCATCTCAGCTGAGGGATTCCTCTTCCCACCTCCCCCCCCCCCCCCGATGCCCTCACAGGACCCTTGTCCCTGGGCAAGAGGTTCTTTACAGCCTGGCTGATCAGCTCTGTGTCTCAACCGGATTTAGGGTTACTCTGTCCTCACTCTGGAGGTGGCTGACCACCTCCTGCTGTCCTCTTTCCCACTGTATCACCTGACAAGCCCCCTCCTATCCCTTGGACCTCTCGCAATCCCTCCCTCCTGCTTCACCGCCCTCCCCTGCTGAAAGGAGCACCTGTGTTTCAGGCCTGAGCCCATCCCTCAGGTAATGCCCCTCTGCCCACCTCTTCCCCAGGGACTGAGCACCCGATCCAGGCTTGATCTTCCGAGTCCCAGCCCCACACACTCGGCCTTTGGCTCACGGCCCGGCTGAGCTATCCTCTTCAGACACCTGGCCTTCGCCTGACCCCTTGGGCAGGCCTGGGCACCGGCCCTGGCCCTCCCTGGCTGGCCTGTCCCCCTGCCACCCAAGCCTGGGTATGACATCTTTGCACCAAGCGGCACTCATTTGAGAAGGCAAACACGGTGGTACTCTCGGGCTATGCTCACGCTAGCATACGCACACACGCACCCCCTCCTTGCACTGACACCTCACCCACTGCCGTGAAAATTTGGCTGGCCCTGTTTATTTTCCTTCCTTTAATTTCCCCTTTAGAACAAACGCCAGTCCTGTAACACCGACCACCCTCCCCTCGCAGATCTGTGGCCTCCCCACCCTCACCCTGTCCTCCCTCGTAGCTGTGAATGAGAACAGAGTGAGTCTTTTAGCAGGAGGCAGTGGCCTGAATGAATTGATCACAGCCTCCAAGCCAGGAGGGGAGGGCTCGTGAGCATGTGCCTTTGCTTCTTAGAAACTCTTTGCACATCCGAAGCTCATATTTTTCCATGTGCCTGAGAGCAAACCGCTCCCCCCCCCCCACCTCACCCTCCTCCTTTCAAATTTTATTTTAATTCATTTTTGGTGCCATGTATTTTGTTTTCTGTTTTCTACAAGGGAGCCTGAATCAGGGCCTCAGAAAAACAAGGCTGAGCTGCCAACTGGAAATGTTTGCTCTGGGGGCGAGTTCGGAGGCTGGCGTCAGGCGGGGCAAGATCCGTGCCAGTGGAATGTGATTTGGGGGGGAAGCTGCAGGTCACTCAATTGCTGGCAGCCCGCCCAGGAGCAACTGGATGCTTTCTGGGCTGTGTGTGTGAGTGTGTAGACTTTTTTCCCTCATGCAAACAGAGCCCTGGAGATGTGGAGACAGAAGCATTAGGAAGAAACTAGACAGGGGGTTGGAAAATCAGGGAACTGGGGAGATTAAGTGGGTGGGGTGGGAAGCTGGTGCCAGGATCTGCACAGCCACTTTATCTAGCACCCATTGTGTTCCCAGCCTGGAGCTGGGGGCTCTTGGGAGCGAGGGGAGATACAGATCACCCTGCTCCCAGAGACTCATGGGCTCTTTGGGGAAACAAGGCTCCCAGTACAGAACACAGCCAGGCCAGCCTGGAAGGTCCCCCAGAGCAGGCTGCAGGAATGACCAAAGGTGTTCAGGGAAGGCTTCCCCAAGGAGGTTTGATAGGGTCCCAGCCCTGAAGCATGAAGTATTGCTCTGAAAGGAAAGGAGAGGTGTTCAAGTTACTGTTTGTGGCTACCACGTGCCAAGCCCTTTATGTTGACAATCTTCTTCAGTCCTCCTAGCAGCCCTACAAGGGTCACTGGTCTTTCTATCTGACTTTGCAAACAAGGAAACTGAGGTCTAGAGAGATGAGGGAACTTTGCCAAGCTCCCAGCTTGTAAGTGGTAAGCCAGCATTCAACTAAGGGCTGTCCCACTCTAAAGTCCCACTTCTCCCCACCACACAGAGGGTCATTTTCCATTTAGCCAAGTTCCCCCAGGTAACGGCCTATCTTTGCTATTTTGTTTTATTTTTATTTTTATTAATTAATTATCTATCCCCAGAAAGAAAACTGTCCAATTCAAAGTAGGGATCTAAGATGTAGGTTTCCAAGAGGCAGCGTGACAAGTACTTGGAAGTCAGAGAGGACCCTGCCTGGCTTCACGATTCTCAGGAGGTGGTGGCTGGGGCCCTTGACAGTCCTGCCAGGTCCCATCCCAAGCCAGGCCTTTCCTGCAGCCTGAATCACCTTACCAATGACACACATCCTCTCCCATAGTCCCCAACATACCCTCTTCACAGGCCAAGTTCTTTCCCACATCAGGTGTTCACTTTGGGACCATCCACTCTGGGGGTCTTCAGAAGCTATGTATGCTACTCTGAGTGGTGCATGAAAGTGAGGTGAACCAGACAGGATGGATTTTTCCAGAGCCGTTGCTCTCACTGCAGCATGACCCTAGAGTCAGAGTCAGGGGACTAAGATGTCTAACAAGTCCTTTCTCTGTTCAGGTCTCCATTTTTCTCAGTTCTACAGTGAGGAGTGACCTGGATGGCCTCTGAGCTGCCACAGATGGAAGGAGAGAATCTAAGGATGCAGAACTGATATGCAGGTGTGTGGGGTGGGAGGTGAGAGGAGCTTGTCCAAAGGGCCAACCCACTGCAGAGACAGTCCCTGGCAGAGGAAGCAGAGTCCATAATAAGCCCAGGAGAGAAGAAGGAAATAAGCCAGGCTCAGCAGACAGGAGAAAGTGGAGTGAGGGAGGTGGAGTCATGCTAGGATGGTTAGACGGCAATCTATCTCATTAGGGTGACTCCACTGGCCATCTGAGGACGTTATGGTCCTCAGGCCAAATAGTTGGTTAGTCTCCCCCATTGGTTCTTTCTGACCTAACTAACCACTAGTATTAGGTAACCACTGGCTTGGGATCACTTGCGCCTGCCAGATGACCTCCATTGGTTGAACTGACTTGTCAGTTCCACAAGACAACTGATCTTACCAATTGTTTCCAGAAAACAGGTAACTGATTGAATTCACCAAACCCAGTAATTGTTCTGGCTTTTCAGAGACAGTCTTTAGGTCCAATATCTTTGGTCCTCAGACACACTTAGGCTACCTGCTACTTACCAACAACAGCCACAACTTCTGAGAAGCCTGGGGAAAAAAAAAACCTTACGGACAATAAGCTCTGGGACTCAGTCTCTCCGACAATAAAATGGGAAGGTTGGAGTAGTTCAGAGTGGCAAACACATGGCGTGAATGCTGCGACCCTTCCTTTCATCCATGGCAGACATTGCTAATCAATTACAGCCACTCATTCCCATGGGATCCAGATGCAGCTTCAGAATCCTTTTCAACACAGGACTTTGGGCAGCCCCTACCAATCAATTAGATTTGGCATGCATGATAAAAAGCATTTGTCCTCTGGGCAGTAGATGATCTCCAAGCCTCCCTCCAGCTGTGCTGATCTAGGATTGCAACTGATTAGGTGTCTGAGCGCTCAGCCTGGAGACCACCAGATCGACAGCTGTCCCTGGGGCTTCCCAGGTTTGTGGAGCTGCCCTTGAGCTGGGCCATGGCTGAGCTGGTGCCTTATTAATTTTCCTCACTGCTAATAAATGTGCATTGCGTCAGCTCCGCTCTGCCCCCTCATGTTCTCCGGCTGCCGCCAGCAGCGGGGACTTTTTCAGAGAGCTGTAAAAATAGTTTTTTTTAAGGAGCCTGCACAGAAGAAGCAGCCAAGCCTTTTTTGTTTCCTTTCTTTTCTGAGGGAATGGGGGAGATGGGTAGGGAATACTTCACAATGAAGGAATGTGCTCCTTGGGGAATTTAAAGTCGTTTTCCTTTTTTTTTTTAAGTTGTTTTCCTTTTTTTTTTTTTTTTTTTTATCACACTCTGGTTTCACATCTAGCCACAGAGCATGTCTGTAAGGATTGGTAACCGCTCCCAGGAGATCACTGGCTTAAGCCAGGTCTTGTTAGGCTGTTGACAACTTGGTGCTGATGAGCAGAGCCCTAATGAGCTGCTCACTTGCTCGCCGCCTGCTCCTGCCGGCTGATCCAGCTTCGGTGCTCCAGTGGGCTTGATGGCTCCAGGAGACAGCTTTTCTTGCATGCAATGGGGGTTAGGCATGCAGGAGAGCTTTCTTTCCAGCGAGTGAATGTTTTACTTTTCCCCACTGGTGCTCCGGGTTTTGAAGAGACTTATGGCAAATGCTGAGATGCTAGGGATGGGAGATTCTCAGGAGAGGTAGGCTCCAGGTCCTCCTCACTCTTCCCATTTCACAGGTGGAGAGACTGAAGCTTGCAGTGGGTAGGAGGACAGGGGAGGCAGGAGCCAAAGGGAAGGGGACTACTAGCTGATACTGGGAAGAGAATGCATCTCTTACCTCCCAGACCAGCAAGTCAAAGCTGCAGAACTCTGACAGTGTCTAGCCCAGAGCTTCTTGAACCTGAAAAATGTATGCCGTTGTCTGTAAAGACAACACACTGTCACAGAGCCCTATGACATAATTGTACCCTTAGGCTTTATGCTCTTAAGTTCTTATATAACTATAAACAAATCAATACATTAATAATACAAATTAATACAAACAAATCAATAAATCAATAAAACCACAAAGGTGGTAAAACATTAATGACATTAAGTTAGTATGATGGGTAATGCTGTTTCGCTGAAACAGGACCCTTGGGGCATAGAGGAGGAGCAGAGGAAAAGCAAAGAAGACCCTGGGCCTTTCCCATCAGGGGCCGTTAGAATGAAGGAATCTGGAGGGACAGTATGAAGTCAGGCTGAGGGAAGAAGACAGGAGAGGGCAGGCCAAGTCAGATGCTGGTCAGAGAAAGCTGAGAGCCTGGAGACACAGGTTGTTCAGGGGGGAGCCCTCATCTCCTCTGGAGGTGTATGTGCCCAGCACAGCCTGGCTACCAGTGCTGCTTCTTTGGGCAGGTCTCCTTGAGGCTCAGATAATCCCCTTGCTTTTCAGCAAATTCTCAGAGTCCAGGCAGTACCATGTGACCATCTCCTCTCTCCTCTGCCATCTTGCCTACCAATGGGAAGAACTCTTGCTGGGCTTTGCAAGGGAGCAGGTGCTACTGCTCCCTGCTCCTTCCTATCTCTTTTGGTCAAGAATGCAGACCATGAACATAACACGTAAGTAGAACATATAGTGTGTTAACAGCAGGAAAGCTGGTGGTTCAGTTGTAAAGGGATGGTAGGAGTAGGCCTCAGCTTGGAAGTGACATGACAGCAAAGCCTTGGAGGAGGCGAGGGAGCAAGCTGTGGGTGTTTGTCAGGGACTGTTCTCCAGCGTGGTTTAAATGTCCCTTTCTCCAGGCAGTCTGGTCCCACTGCTCTCCAATGTGGTTTAAATGTCCCTTCAAGCTCCAGGCAGTCTCCCAGAGCTGTTCTGCCATGCTCAGAACTCTCACAGCTTTTCCTACAGCATGTAACACTTCACACTGTGTCTTGCAGCTCTCATCAGACTTGAGTTATCTTTCTCCTGGGCCAGGAGCCTCTTGAGGTGGACATCACCACCCCTCCCTCCACAATGTTTACCCCTGGAAGGCAAGGGTGTTTGCTCTCCTCTCTGCTGTATCCTTAGCCTCTGTTAGTGGTCTACAAATGCATACTGAATTGTCAAAGGTGGACCTAGGAGGCGATGGGAATGGTTCGTCATTTGCACTGAAGCTCCTGATGTGGACACTTCAGCACTTTGCCCCCGTCCCATCACGAGACCTGAATGGGCCCAAGATTTGTCAAATGAATGGATGACCATTGATTAAAACTCAATGTCCTCCACTCAGTTTATCAGTTCAGAAACCAAAAGTCAGAGGAAAGAAACTGAATCTGATAGGACCCCCAGTCTCTGGTAGTCAGAGCAGCCATTCCTGTGATATGATTAACTCTGCTTCTGGATCCACTGATTCTTCTGTCAAAGCAGCTGGTTGAGCAATAGTTGAGCAAGCCGAGGTCCAAACTGTGCAGTGGGCCTCTGTTCATTCAGTAAGTACATTCTGAGTGCCTACTGTGTAGAGGCTGGGATACAGCAGTGGACAAAGAAGGCAAAAATCTCTGCCCTCATGGTAACTGCTTGAAAACTTAAAGCAGGGATCCCTGGGTGGCACAGTGGTTTGGCGCCTGCCTTTGGCCCAGGGCGCGATCCTGGAGACCCGGGATCGAGTCCCACGTCGGGCTCCCGGTGCGTGGAGCCTGCTTCTCCCTCTGCCTGTGTCTCTGCCTCTCTCTCTCTCTCTCTGTAGCTATCATAAATAAATTTAAAAAAAAAAAGAAAACTTAAAGCAGGGAAGAAAGAGGTAGAGAGGAGAGGGATACAAACTTTACACGGATGCTCAGGGACAGCCTCACTAAGGTGACCTAGAAATAGCAGAAGGGGTGAAGGAATGAGCCATGAAGATACCTGGGGGAAGAGCATTGCCAAGGCTACAGCCAGTGCAAAGGTCACTTGGACAGAGGAAAGTAGAAGGCAGATAGGAAAGTGAGTCCAGAAGAGATTCCTGTCTGGATGTCTTATCCCTGTCCTCTGGGTCAGTGTCCTGTTGATTAATGGTGGCGGTGTGGACACTGTCACTGGGAGACAGGGAGAGGCTTTGGGGCCATCAGGCTGATTGTATTCTGCTTCCTGATCACTCCCCTGGGTGGTCCTATCTAGGGCTGCTGCAAGCACTACTCTGGGTGCTCTAGTTATATGTACCCCATTTCCTTCTAGCATAGTTTCCACTTTCCCTCCTCTTTCTTGAATGGGTGACAGACACATCCACTTTGGAACAACTGGGGCAGGCAGCAATGAGGACTCTAGATTCAGGAATATAGAATTTCATGTAGCAAGTGTCCGAGGTTCTAAGCCATCCTGCTAAGAAGATAGCAATCAATGAACGTCCTCCTGCCAACCTGTCCTATCCTCACCCATGGGTGTTGCATGCACATCAGGGAGTTGCTGGGCAGGTTCCACTCAACCATGCTGGGAGGGCACCAATGCTGGACCCCAAAATCTGAGATCCATATGCCTGAGGCCCTTGAACATCCAGAAGTGGTGCCTTGCCATCTGATCCCGACCTGGAAGGAGCTGGAGGCACACCAGGGTGGTCCAGTGGCTTCAGCTGACAGGTGGACAGCCAGGATGCTAACAAGGTCAGCACTATATGTAGCCTAGCTGCTCAATCCCCCAGATGCTAGTCCCTGAGGTCTCAGGAGGCAGCAAAGCACAGGATTCAAAGCTTGGGGTTTTGAGTCAGTTGCCCCGGGTTCAAATCTCACTTCTGTTATTTTCTTTCTGGTGCAAGTTTTTCCTCCAGGAACAGTTTCCATATCTGTAGAATAGAATGGGTTTGCCTTTTTGGGTCATTATAATGATATAGAGAAATAGAGCCTGTAATCAGTCCCTGCATGGAAGTAATGATTGCTGCCTGGCTGTGGAGCATTTGTTCCCAGGAGCCTAAGCCCTGAGCGCTTGCCTTCCTTTCCCTTTCTAGCTTCGTTCTTGTTCCTTGGACCAGTCATCCAGGGCACGTGGACCCTCCCAGTGGCACACTGTGCCAGCCCAAGGTAATATCAAACAGTTGATTCAGTGGGGGATGTTTTTCATGTAGGGCATAGGTTTTCTTGGGGTGTCTGTATTGTGCCATCCCAAGCAGAGCCTTGAGCCTCAAGTACCATTTTATCCTGGTAACTCTCTGGATTCACAAAATCTATATTACTGTCATTGCAGGGCTACCACAGGCGACTTCAAAATGAGCAGGTTCCTTGCAGGGAGATGTGCAGTACAGTGTCACACCACCAGGGGGCGCTGCCCAGCTGGTATCTTTCTCCTTCACGCTCTGCCGGGTTTCTCAAGGAGGCTGGGAAGACAGAATCAGGAGCCCTGGGATGCAGGTTTGCCCCTAGGCTTTGATTTATGGGCCCCTAGCCTTGACCTTGAAGATCTGCCACCTGGTGGACTGGGAATGGCATTAACAGGAACCCTCCACAACTCCTGGACCCTTTACAGTTTGCTTCCTGTTCCTATACATGCATTCCATCTTATCCAACTAAGGGGATAATGCCCAGATATTGAACTAAGGCTCAGAGAGGCGAAGAGGCTGCTTGAGGCCACACAGCTGGTAAGTGGCAAAGCAGAGATCCTTCCTAGGCTTGCGTGATGCCAACCCCTGGGCCCCAGTGTCTGAGTGGGGGGAGGCAGCACGGTGAGGGGTGGGGGGCAGGAGGGTATCCCAGGAGACTGGAGCCAGCTCTGAGTCTTGCTCTACCTCCACCCAGCACAGCTGACTATTCCTATCCATTCTCTTCCCCTCTCCCCACATGGGATTTCAGCGACCATCTCCAGTTTGGGGGGAATTGGTGAGGGGCTCAGGCAGCACCAGTGGAGCCCTCAATGTTCAGCCAAGATACATGCTTTTTCTAGAGCACAGCCTGGCTTCTTAAGGGTTAATTTTCAGTCCTGCCAGAGACTTCCACACTAGCCATCCCAACTAGCCATAGACACCTCAGCCTGCAACTGTACCCAGAGTCTGGGGCCAGATGCTACAATGCAAGGAGCCAAGGCAGTGTGCTAACGGGGGATGCCTAAAGCCACCTCTCACTCTACATCATCACTATGCTCCATGCCATACATGCAGCCTAATTTAATCCCCGTGATGGCCCTGTGAAAAGATTATGATCTCCATTTACAGGTGAGGACACTGAGGCTCATAGGGTACCTCTGCAGCTCTGGAGAGCAGGGGGCTGGCTTTCCTCCCATGCCTGCCACTGACTGACTAGATGCACGAGGAGTGGGCAAGCACAGATCTTAGCCTCTGCTTGAGTTCTGGAGAATGTAAAGGACATGAGAGCTGGCTGTCCTTCAGCAAACATCTCCTGAGACTTACCAGGCTTCCAGGAGCTCACAAACCTAGGGGGGTCCGCCAGGTCCTCAGTGGAGGATAAACTGCAGCCAGACTTGTAAGTGAGCATGTGCAGAGGCCAGCAAGAGTGACAGGGGGCTCTGGTGGTCAGTTGGCCAGGGTTTACAGAGGAGGGGAGACTGGAGCCAGTCATCAAAGGGTGAAGGCGAGCACGCTCTGCAGAGGGGAGGTGTGGGAGACTTGTGAGCAAAAGTCAGGTTTCCAGGGTCCTGGGGCTGAGTGGGGAGACACAGGTGAATGAGGTCTCCTCTCTGGGGCACACCTTTGGTCTTAGGAGATAAGATGCAGGAAGATGCTGGGTGTCCATGGAGGGGGGTGCCTCAGGGAGCACATGCATTATGATGATCCATCTCAGTGAAAAAGATGAGGTTTTGGATTGACTATAGGCAGAAAACTGGATGCCTCCATGAGTGTGAATGTGTACACACGAGTGTATCTTTGAAGCCCAACGTCAAAGTCGTTGACCTACCACCCTGAGAGACTGGACAGAAATACCATCCTCAAGGACAGAGGAGAAAACAGAACCCCCGGGGTTCTGGGACTCAATAGTGGAAAAGCCAAGGTCTATCATGGACTCCTGGTCCCAGCTCTATGCCCCTGTCTTTCAACCTTCTGCCTAGAGTGCCATCCTATCTCTCAGGGCCCTGCATGCCACAGGCCAGCATGTCACCTGCCTCCCCCTGCATTTTCACAGGAAAAGCCCCATGGTGGGTCTGGGAGCAGAAGTGAAGGGCTGAAACCAGAAAGAGGAGGATCCCAGTACCTGCAGAAGCCAGAGCCCAAGACCAGGGTGGAGTGGCCATCCTCTTCTCCCAAGCTGCTTAAAGTACCTGCCACTGCCTTTAGGAGGAAGTGCCTCAGAGAAAGGACCCGGGAGAGACAAAGCCCTGGGCTGGTTCTCCAGGGAAGGCTTGGTAAGGGCTCCCTAGTTTGACCCCTTCCTTCCAGAGTCTTCAGTGGGATGGCACTGGGAACTGAAGGTCTGGGGAGTCCACCTCTGCCCCCTGCCTGTAGCAGTGGGCACTTGCAAAGCTCTCCCTTAGGGCCAGGCACTGCTCTGGGCGCCTGCACACATATTCTCAATTTCCACAACCACCTCAGGGGGAAGGTATAATCATTACCTCCGTTTTATGCGCAAGAAGAGGGAAGCACAGAGAGGCTCCGTGACTCATCCAAGATCACTCCATTTGTAGAGGGTAGAGCTGGGGTTGAACACAAGAAATCTGCCTCAGGGAGAGGCAGATCTGGTCATTAATGACAATAATAAGCAAAGCCATTTGACCAGTATCTCCTGTGTGCCTGGGGCTTCAATCCTCACAGCAAGGCTGGGACGGGGGCACCCCTCATTTCATAGATGAGTAAATCCGAGCTTAGCAGGCGGCCAGGGGTGAGGCGCCTGCAGAATCTCACAGATGCTAGGTCTGCCCAAAACGGAAGGGTCCACTCTCAGCCTCTTTGCAGGCCTCTTTGACTTGCTGTGTGACAGTGGGCAAGCACATTCCTCTACAGAGCCTCAGTTTCCCTATGGCCTAGGCCTTCTATTCCGGGCCTCCCTGCTGCAGCAAGTGACGGAGTGGCGGGATTGCCATGTTGTGGGAATGTGCGTCTCCTCCATGAAGAGCCTTTGCCTCCCCCACCCTGCTCCGTACCCACTCCCCACCCCACACCCCTCCCCCCGCCGCCCAATACGTCCTCGCTCCGTCTTTTTTTTTTTTTTTTTTTCCTCGATTGGTGAGTTGGGACCGGAGGCGCTGGGTGCCGAAGGTCGCTGCTGTGTCACCCGGAGGTCAGCCAGCCTGGGTGGAGACGGCCCGGCTCAGATCTGGGGAGAGGGTCAAAGGGCCCAGAAGCCACGTGCTCGGGGCAGGTCTGCGGGGAGCGGAGCGTCCTCCGGGGGGAAAGGGAGGCGCCCCGGGCTTGGGGGGGGGCGGGGAGGGAGAGCCAGAGGAGGCAGGTTCTGGACAGAAGGGATGGGGGTGGGGGGAGGGAGAGAGGACGCGGACAAAGGAGGCGGCCGGCAGCCCAGCTGTTTTGAAAAATGCTTCCTGTTTCTTTAAAGGCGCTCGCGGCCCGGGCGGCCGGGGCTTGGGAGGCGGCGGCGGCAGGAGCTGCCCCTCTCCCGGCGGCGGCGCTGACTGATCTGGCGAACCGGGCTTCTGTGTAAACTGAGGCTAAACAAACACAGATGGAGCGCAGCGGGCGTTCTCCAGAAACGCCGGCGAGGCGGCAGCCACTTCAGATGACGCTCTGAGCGCTCCGGGAGCGGGCAGCCCGGCGGCTTCGCGGAGCCCGCGGCGCAGCTGCCCCGGGCGCGGCGGAGGGAGGGAGGGAGGGAGGGAGGGAGGGAGGAGCGCGGGCGGAGAGGGGGAGCCCGAGACTCCCCGGCGCGGGGCGCGGCGGCCGCGGGGCACAGCCGGCTCGCGGCGCGCGGAGCGAGCGCGGCGGGCGCGCGGCCCGGGCAGCCCCACGGCGGCGCCCCCCGCCCCCGCCCCCCGCCGCCGCCGCCGCCCCCGCCGCCGCCCGCGCCATGAAGCACATCCCGGTGCTCGAGGACGGGCCGTGGAAGACCGTGTGCGTGAAGGAGCTCAACGGCCTCAAGAAGCTCAAGCGGAAAGGCAAGGAGCCGGCGCGGCGCGCGAACGGCTATAAAACTTTCCGATTGGACTTGGAAGCGCCCGAGCACGGCGCCGCCGCCGCCGCCGCCGCCGCCGCCGCCGCCGCCGCCGCCGCCGCCAACGGGCTGCGCGACGGGACCCAGAGGCTGCAGCCGGTCGCGGCCCCCGTGCCAGCCCCGGCGGCGCCGGCCGTGCCCTCAGGTGGGGGCGCGGACCCGGCCGGGGAGCGCCGGGGCGCCCGGGCGCCGGAGGTCCCCGACGCGCGGAAACGCGGCTTTGCCCTGGGCGCAGCGGGCCCGGGGCTCCCCACGCCGCCGCCGCCGCCGCCGCCGCCCCCCGGCCAAGGACCCGGGGGTCCCGAGGCGCAGCCTTTCCGGGAGCCCGGCCTGCGTCCCCGCATCTTGCTGTGCGCCCCGCCTGCACGCCCCACGCCGTCGGCGCCCCCCGCGCCCCCCGAGGCGTCCGTGCGCCCAGCGCCCCCCACGCGCCCCGGGGAAAGTTCTTACTCGTCAATTTCACACGTAATTTACAATAACCACCCGGATGCCTCCGCGTCGCCTAGGAAACGGCCGGGCGAAGCGACCACCGCTGCCTCGGAGATCAAAGCCCTGCAGCAGACCCGGAGGCTCCTAGCGAACGCCCGGGAGCGGACGCGGGTGCACACGATCAGTGCCGCCTTCGAGGCGCTCAGGAAGCAGGTACCGGCTCCCAGCCGCGCGCCCTCGCCGCGCCCCGGGACGGCTGCCGGAGTGGGTGGGCGAGCGGCGGGGAGGCTCCAGGGAGGCTGAGGCTGTGCGTAAGGGGCGAGTGGTTCCCGCCCGCTCGGCCCCAGGGCCCAGACAGGTTGGAGCTCTCCCAGGGCAGTAACCTTGGCCACGGCGTTGGTACGGATCTCAGCTTGCGAAGTGCGGGCAAAGGCCTGGTTCTCCCCCCTCCCCGCCGCCTCGTCCCCCGCCCCCCACCCCCGGGGGGCGACCCTTCTGCGCCTCTGACTTCAGCCCTCGTAGTTCACTTTTATGGCAGCGAGTATTTGTCTTCTCCAGCCCCCGGAGCGCGGTGGGAAGTGGAGAGAGGGAATGTAGGAATCTGTCCCTGGCAAGGGAGGGGGGAGGGGGAGACCCTTCCCCTTTGGGCATTGAGCGTGGTCTGGGTCTTGGGAGACCCAGATGCTGCGGAGGAGTGGACCTGGTTTTACCTTCCAGAAGGGATACCCCTACACTCAGGCTGCTTTGGTGCCGGGCACCGCATCGCCCTGGTATCCTTAAGCATCCGGGCTACAAGCCTGTATCCTCTCCCTCCCCAGTGGCAGCCTCAAGAATTGGCTGGTGAGAGCCTTCCCAGGGGATACCCTCCGCTGCTGACCTTCAGCTCATGGTGAATGAAGCAGGCAGATCTCCTACTGAGGGAACCGGTTAGTTGGGGGATCTTCAGAGTCTAGTCCCGGGGTGGGCCACGGGCTTCTCAGTTTGGGGCTGGTGGGTGCTGCCCTCACCAGACAGCGTCCTCTAGGGGGATGGAGAAGAACAGTTATCTGAGAATTACATGTAGTGGGGAGGAGCAGTTTTGCAATTACTTTAAACAAGACTGGGACTGCCCTGGGGTATTCTAGACTTCTCATTTTCTTAGAGAGAAGGGACATCTAAGAAGAAGGTAGTAAGTACCCTCTGCCCCCACCCCCCCACACAGGGAATGGGGGGAGGATTAGGGGTGGATGGGACTGGTTTGGACTTCAGGTTTTTGGCATACTCTACAGCTGACTTCCTGTGTGTCTCCAAGAAAGTTACTCAACGTCTCTTGGCTTTAGCCAACAACAAAGCGTTTTAGAAAACATGATCTTCTTTCTGGATCCCACTCTCTTCTTCTTCCTGCGGGTGGAGAGGACAGGTGCATGTGTCCATCCATGAGAAGGGGATTGAGCTCCTGGGAGAAAAGAGGCTCTATGAGTCAAGCCAAAGTGTCTTGCTTGGATTTGGGTAAGATGCTTGGTCAATGAGGTGGCCAGCCTTGCCAGTTGGGTCACTGGGCAGTGTGCCCAGTGGAACACTCAGGCTTACTCTTGGGCAGCAGGTCTGCGTCTGAATGCCTGGAGAGGGTGGCATCCTACAGAGCATCTTGCAACCTACTCGCAGGATGGAAGGATGACAGGTGGGTAGTAGAAAGATGCCTGTCCTCCTGCTTACCTTGCAACTAGGTAAATGCTCTCAGTTTGGGGAGGCCACATGCCCAGAGGGTCACAGCTGGTGAGAAGCAGGGCAGGGCTGCCACCTAGGTCCTTTGACTACCAGTTCATGTCCCCTTTTGACCCTCTGGCTGCCTCTTTCATTTCCAAGGAAGTATTCATGGTCTCCATGTACTGAACTCAGCTAAACATCTCATTTACCCAGTGGTTTTTCAGTAATATTCCATCCTGTTTGAACTCAACATCCTGTCAGGTTGAATTACCCCATTTAATGGAATGGAAAACTGAGGCCTAGAGAAAGAAGGAAGGAGACTTGTCCAAGATTGCTTAGTGGGTTAGGGAAGATGATAGCAGTTTCTGGAATGCCTGCCTGGCCAAATGCTTCCCACAGTGCCATCTGTATCTGTCATGTTTATTAACAATTGGAAGCTGGTTTCCACATGGCTGAGTCTGAGATGAGATTATTTAAATCCTAGTCTCCTTTCAGTCGTACTCTTTCTGTGGGGAAGTTCTACATAAAAAGGGCAGATTCAGGGACATACCTATGTCTAGACACATGATCATTACACATGGCCAAGAGGACACACAAATACACAGGCCCAGAGGTGCATGCTCCTGTCTGTTCTCTCCTTGCTCAGACCATTCTGTCCCTTTCCCCAGAGAGCTGCCAGGCCATAGTGGGCATCTGCCTGCCATCTAGGAGGGAAGGAGATAGAGGTAGGACACTTGTGATCTCAGAGCCAGGGGCTGCGGCTGCACCCACCGCAGCACCCATCTGATGGAGGAAACCCTACGTCCTAAAGGAGCTCCTTCCTCCTCTGGTCCTCAGTCCCACATGTGAAAGGTACAGACATGTACACACATGCACACACACATTCTCATACCCCGATCCAGATAGGCTGTAGCTCTGGATCTAGGCTCGAGTTTGACTGTTTGAAATGGGCCCTTGGCAAAGAAGAGAAAGGAGGAGGATGATTCTGCCTAAAATGAAGCCTCTGCCATCACAGCACTGAGATCAGTTCTGGGATTATGGCTCTGGTCTGGAGTTTTGTGTCCCTAAGCAATTTCCTGACATGGTTATAAGAGCACTGGATGAGGAGTCCAGAGGCCACGGTTTGAATGGTGGCTCTGTTGCATGCTTTCTGCATAACCATGGAAAGTTACTTTCCCTCTTTGGGATTCAGTTGCTAAAGCTGGAAAATGGTGATAAGGCTCACCCCCCACATAGCTTCTTTGCAAAGAGCAAATAAAGAAAGGCATGGGGGCTGGAGGAGGAATGAACATTCCTTAAGCATTTATAGTGTCCTCAGTGCCAGGCAGGGCCTTGAGAGATGTGGAAATAAACATTCTGTATTCATTTTAACAGCACTCATAGAAACTACCATTTATCAGATGCTTGCTTTGTGCTGAGCACTGTGCTAGGCACCTTATGTATGTTACAGTGATATTGTTATTATTATTATTATCTCCCCCTCATTTCACAGATAGTGAAACAGGTTCAGAGAGCTTCATGTAAGTTGGCCGACTTCTCGCAGCCTTTTGCAACCACGTGGGGCCTTGTAGGTTTTGCACTGTGTAGCTCCTTGGCATACCATTCACTAGATTTGAATGTGCTGTGCCTCCTTGGCCTGGTGCAGTCACAGCCTGCATAGCTGTGTGCCACCGTCACTGTAGAGCCTGGATTCTAATCAGAGTCCGCGAGTCACTCCAATGCCCAGGCTTTTAAGAGCTCTGCCTCTCAGCCTCTTGAATCCATGTGGGGTCATGGCCCCCTGACATCCTATGGGGTCTGAGACTAAGGGAAGTGTAGGTTTGGGGGTACCATCCCAATGTCCCCTCACGGCCCATCCTGAGTTCTCTTGGTGAGGATCCCCTGGGAGACTCCAGGGGCAGCAGAGAAGAGGACCCAGGCTCCACTTGCTTGGCATCCCCTTCCTGAATCTGTATCTGTCAGATTACAGCAAGGCCCTGAGGGCTCCTCACTGCCACCTTGGGCATCTGCCCCGAGAGGCTGCTATCCCTCCATAAAGGCTGAGGGGCTTCAAGTTTTGAGGGGAGAGAGGAAATCTGCACATACACCAGATGTCCCAGTGTGCTGCCAGGAGGCCAAGGCCAGAACTCTGGCCTCTCCCCACACCCAACCAGCAAGGCCAGGCTTTCCTTTCAACCCCCTCCCACCTGGCCCTGGAGCAGCCCCGCACCCAGGCCAGGCCCAGCTGTGCACACATGGCCTTCACATGAGGCCGCAGGGAGGGCCCTGTGCAGCTGGGCTGGTGGCATGTGCTATGGCCTGACCATCTGCCCCACACACACCCCACCCCCACACCAGACCAGAGGGCCTCTCCCCCACCTGCACTTCCTTGGCCAAGCAGCTCCCTGCTCTTCCCTTCCTGGTTAAGAGCATGGTGGGCTGGACCAAACAGAAGGCTTCCCAGTGCTGACGATAGATAGCAGGTCCTTTTACTTTCCTAGAAGTGAGGCAATCTGTTAGGAGTTGAGGGCAAATGACGCTGCTGCCTCCTTTGCCCTGTGTCCTTTGATTAGGGGAGCCGACAACTGCTGATGGGGTCCTCTGCAGGTGATGGGGTGGCTGGTAAGCACAAAGGCCAAAGTCCCATGGGATTATTAGCCCAGAACTCACCATCCTCAGCTTCAAAGGCAGCCTGCCCATCCCCTGACCTAAAGACTCATCCAAATCCCTAGTCTTTCCAGCTAATTGGAAAGAGCCCAGCTAAGGCATCAAGTGTTTCTCTGTAAAGTGGAAGTAATCATTTCTACCTCACTGGGCTGTTTAAAGATAAATATAGATATTGTATTAAATATACCCTTAGTTGATCACAATAAACAGCCAGGGGTGGCCTGGTCCCAACAATCACGTAGGGACAAACAATGTAGGCATTGTTGTTCCCAGTCTCCAGATGAGGGAACTAAAGGCTCAGAGAGCTGAAGGCATCTCTCAAAGTCACTGGTAAGTGCCTGCAGTTCAGATGAGCTCTTTCCACCCTTCCTTCACCTCCCAGAACTAGGACCTGCTGCCAGGCCAGCCCAGGGTACTTCTTAACCGGGGTTCCGGGGCCAGAGGGCTGCATCCTGGGGCATGGGCACCAGGAGGGAGGGTCTGGACTTACCCATGTGAGCTGAGGAGCACCTCCCACTCAGGGGACGGGGAAGAGGAGGAGTGAGCTGCCCAAAAGGTGCTGCTAGTGTCCTACATGTGGCCAGCTGTGGTGGAGGGAGCCTGGGGAACTCAGTGGCCATGTACCTTCCTTGGGTAGCTTCAGGTCTTAGCTGAGTGACTGGGGCCCAGTATGTCACCTCTCTGTTTCTTCATGTACATTTGGGATATCAACCTTTATTTTGGGGAAGGTTTCCAATGGGACAAACTACCTGTGAATAGCTACCGTAGTGCCAGACACACAACTAGAGCCTGATGGATGGTTTCCTTGTCAGATCTGGGTTTTGATAGAAGCAATCTGGCCCAGAACCTGGGCGGAGCCCCTAGGTTGGTCCTGGCCTCATCTGTTGCTCTGCAATCCTGCAATGATGCTGGATCCCCATGTGCAGATCCTTCCCGAGATCCCTAGTCCCCACTGGCAGAAAAGCCCATCTGTTCAGGGGCCAAGGGCACAATGAGCCAGGTAACTCCCAGCCTGGCCCCTAGGTGAAAACAACTGTAGGGGGGATCCCTGGGTGGTGCAGCGGTTTAGCGCCTGCCTTTGGCCCAGGGCGGGATCCTGGAGACCCGGGATCGAATCCCACATCGGGCTCCCAGTGCATGGAGCCTGCTTCTCCCTCTGCCTATGTCTCTGCCTCTCTCTCTCTCTCTCTCTCTCTCTCTCTCCCTCTCTCTCTCTCTCTGTGACTATCATAAATAAATAAATAAAAATTAAAAAAAAAACTTAAAAAAAAAAGAAAACAACAGTAGGGACCTGTGTCACAGAGCTGTGCCCAGCACCCAAGGGCCTCTTGCAGATAGGCTCTCCCTCCTGGGGTGCAGAAGAGGCGGAGGTGCAGGGCTGGCTCTTGAGACACCCTTCCCCTGTGCCAGGACTCCCGGGAACCTTTCTGTCCCACAGACCTTGTTTATTTGTTCAGGCTGATAAAGGAAGATTTTCTGCACTCTGGTTGGGAACAGGCAAAGTGCATTGTTCTGCTGGCTTTTCTTGGCTTTTCTGGGATGAGTTTGGAGCCACAGCCAGGGCTGGGTGAATGCACAGGTGTTGGCATTCTCTCTGTCACCAACCTGCCCCTCTTTCGGCTTCGTCTGGTAAGGGGCCACTCCTTGGCTGCTGGAAGATTTGACAGCAAACCTTGCCTCTGAGATGGGTGCCATTTCAGGACCCCAGCTGGTGGGGGTGGGGGGCTAGGGGAGTTGGTGATGAGCAGGCATTGTGTCCTGGCTCCAGCTCTCCTGCTTCTCATTTGCTCTGGAGCCCCTCCTTGGAGACAATTCTGCAGCCCCCAATCATAATGACTCACTGACTTGTGCCAGGGCTTACTCCGTGCCGTGTGCTGTCATCTCACTTAATCCTACCACATTGTGAGGGCAGCCCTGTTAGCAGGTGAAGAGGAAGCCCAGGCTTGGAAAGGTCATGTCAGCTGCCTGGGGTCTTCTAGCCAGGGAGAGCTAGAGTCGGGAGTTGAACCCAGATGACCAAAAGGTATGTGTGATTAAGTTCTACACTGAATAGCTTGATCTTCATCCTCTGAGAGAGGAAAGGTTTTGAGCACATTTCTAAACATTCTGGAACCACCTGGAGAACATGGAGATAAATCATTCCTTTGCTCATTCATTCTCTCCTTCAGCAAACCCTCTTGTGGGCCTGTTGTGGGCAAGACCTGTCTAGATCCTACAGACATGGGCCTTCCCCAACAGCTCACACAGAGACTGACCTATAAATGAGTGACAATAATTGGGAGTTAAGAATGGTTGGGGGGTTATTAGAGTATTATTAAGTGCGGGTGCCTGCTCCAGCGCTCCTCCCCATGCCCCTGGTTTAGGGTTGGGTGGGGAAGGTCAGATAGCTCCTGGACAACGTGAGAACAAAGTGGATGATCCATGTAGGGTCTCCATCTGTGGTGACTGTCTTATTTGTACTTTCTCAATCTCTGCCCCAGTGACAGTTTGGGCTGAGCATTTGTGTGTGGTGGGGGCCTTCCAGGACCCTGTGCATTGCAGGATGCTTAGTAGCATCCCTGGCCTCCAACCAGTAGGGTCCAGTACCACCTTTCCTTCACTGTTCCCCAATATTGACAGTTAAGAATGTCTGCAGATACTGCCAACACTTCCCCCGGGCACAGAATCATCCCCAGTAGAGGACCATTGGTCCAGAGCAATGCCCGGTATATGGAGGATACTCACCAAATACTTGTTGAATGGACATGCTGCGGTGACCCACTCTGTGGGATGACAGTTGATGAGTACCAGAATCAGTGGTAGAGGTGGATGCTGTGTATGAATCCTGGAGAGCCAGGAAGAGGAGGAAACCAGAGCCATGGTGGCTGGGTGAGCACAGTCCAGCCATTTACATGAATGGTAGGTATATCAGAGGAGCAGTAGGCTGTGTCGGTTCGCACCTGTCAGATGGACTTGGTGGAGTCATTTCCATGCCTCAGCACAGAGCTCAGCTGTAGTCTTCATCGCTTTTTGCTCATGCAGTACAAACATTGGTGGACAGTGTAGAAAGATAGAGACTCTTATCTCTTCACCCCATACAAACCCCTATGGAATTAGTGAGTGTCCACTTGGCAATGAGTCACTGAAAAGCATGTCAAATCTGGTTGGGGCTGTAAATATATATTATGCACCTGTATGCCCAACAGCGACCCAGGTCCAGAGAGCATAAAGAAAAAGAGAAAGGAAAAAGAAAGCCCTCATAGCTAAGCACTGGCACTTTCCTTCTTGTACATTCCCACCGTGCTGGGTACCTAACTCTGTTATGACACTGTAACAGCTCTCTTGAGTGTGAGTTCTCTAAAATCAGGAACCAAGTTATTATTCACAATTGGACCCCCAGTGTCCAGCAGAACAAGTGTTGCTGCATAAGCGAGTGAGTGGAATATCAGAGCTGAAAAATATGAAATATGTGGGTTCTCTCAGACAGACTTCTTTTTAGGGAGGGCGGGTGGACAGAGCCCTGTGATGGTGGTAATGCGCATGCTTCATTTCTAATGCCTTGTGGGCCTAAGCTGAGCTTCAGTTTTTTTCCCCTACAAGATGGGAACATGGATGCCTCCCGGAGTTTGTGAGTGGATGAGTTGAGATGTGTGTTTGAGATGTGTGTGAGGAAAACAGTGGGTACTTAGATTAGAAAATAAAATCCGGGTCAAAGGATTAGACAGGCCACATCTGCTGCCTGGCAGTCCCCTCTTGGGCAATGGGACATCATTGTGGGTGGCCCCACGACTATCTGGTCAGGGTGCCCTGCTGGGCCATGCTCAGCACAGAGACCCTGGCAGCCCCTCCTGATGCCTTCTCAACCCCCAGGTGCCGTGTTACTCATATGGGCAGAAGTTGTCCAAACTGGCCATCCTGAGGATCGCCTGTAACTACATCCTGTCCCTGGCGCGGCTGGCCGACCTCGACTACAGTGCCGACCACAGCAACCTCAGCTTCTCTGAGTGTGTGCAGCGCTGCACCCGCACCCTGCAGGCTGAGGGACGTGCCAAGAAGCGCAAGGTATGTGCCAGCCCCTGGGGCAGCAGCCTCTGGAGGGGGACAGGAGAGATGGGAACGGAAATTGGGGCATCCCACTCTCACTCAGGCTTCTAACCGGGCCAGCAAGATGAGCCTCTTAGAGGTTTTGGGGGTCACTCCAGCTTCAGAGCTCCTCACACAGCTGGGATTATGGGAGGGACGCTACTCCTGGTAACGGGGCTAGCGGGTACCTTGGACAGTCACCCTGAGCCTCTGGGCCTGGGTTTGCTCACTTAATGAGGAAGATGGTATCTGAAGCTCTTTCTGGTTTTCTGTGGTGCTGATTTGCCCATGTGGCCTCTGAGAGATGTATCAAAATGAGCAGAATGAGATCCTCTGAGCAGGGTGACAGCCCAGGAGAGCTCTTCAGCATGTTTGGGAGTACGACTTGGCCTGTGGATTACCTGAGGCCATGAGTTAAGGCGAGTGATATTCGTAGTTCGTTCATTCATTCGGGAGAGATTTGCTGATCCCCAGCCATGTACCAAGCATGTGGACATGGATGTAAAGGTAACAAACCTATGGTCCCAGTCCCCATGAAGTTCACAGGATGGTCAGAGGGACCCCACTGCCAGCAGATACAGGTGGTATGGTATGGCAAGGTGGTCTTAGAGGTCTGTCCTGCCTGGTGGAAGGCTGGGCTGAGGAGGGACAGGTTACCTCTCGTGCCCAAGGGAGTTTGAAAGGGCATCTTACTGTAAGTGGTTTTTGATCTGGGCCCAGGACCACCAGGAGGTCACCAGGAAGATGAAGCAGGGCACAGCATTCAAGACAGAGGAAACAGCCTGTCCAGAGCTTGATGTGTTTGGAGAAATGTGTGCAGGGGGAAAGGTGGTGGGCACAGCTCTGGTCCCTAAATGGCCTGTGCTCCCACCCTTTCCATTTGGGGGTCAGTGCCAGGCAGTACTGAGCAAGGCTTATGGAAGCCCTCTGGATCTCTGTTCCTATGAGGCTAGGGGAAGAGACACAGAGCGTGGGACCTAGTCTGTATCCATGAGGTGGGTAGAGGCCCGTGAGAGATGCCTGGTTCCCCTGGGCATCCAGGGATGGAGAAGGTGGGGGAGCCCGGTGACTGGCATCCTCCCTCCTTCCTTCCACCTCCTCCTTCCTTCCTGGTTTGCTTTTCCCTCTCATCCCTGACACTCCTTCCCGAGCCCCCCCCCCCCTTCCCATTCCAAAAGGCTCCTCTCTGGGTTCTCCAGGTTTCCCAGAGGCCTCTGGGCCTTGGGCCAGGGTGGCCCCCCATGGACTCTCCTGCCTTTGCCAGGGAGGGCCATGCATGTCCCCGCCGCCAGCTAGCCACTGCTGCTGCTGCTGCAGTAATTGTACATTGCATTCCTGGGAGTGATTTAACGTGGACCAATTAGATGAAGTCCTCATCAAGTGGGTGAGAGGAAGCACCACTGGCTGCTGGCAGGGCAGCTTTCCTCTGGAAAGTGACACGGGTAAATTAAAGGCGTGATTGATGGCTCCATGCAGGGCTCTGTGACAAAGGAGGTTTGTAAACTCTGGGTGAACTTCCCTTGGCATTCGGGCAGCCTGGAGGTGTGGATGGGCAGGATGGGCAGGCACCATTTGCTCCAAATCCACCCCTCATCTCCTCACCTCCTCACCCCCCCACACACACACACTCCCCCTCATACACTGAGACAGGAGTGCTGAGGCCCCTTTCCTTCCCTGTTCCTTGATTAGAGCAGGTAGTGGCCTGGGCTGGGGAGGACAGAAGGGGAGTGGGGTGAAGATGTCCAGCAGAGATGAGGTTTTGGCTTCCCCTGAAATCACCTCGATTCTGAGACACCTTAGAGACCATCTGGTCCAACTCCCCATTGTCCAGATTGGGAGACTGAGGTGGCAGGTGGTGGTTCAGGGCATCAGAGTCCCTCCTTATCACCTACCAGCTGTGTCATCATATGCCATCCCATTTCTTTACCTCTCCAAACCTCAGTTCTGTGGCTGATGACTGGGCATGGTGGGAACATCAGTCATCAGTGATTTCTCAGGCACTTCCCAGCCTCTGCATCCAAGTAGAGGTCTTGCCTCACCTCAGAAGAGCGTGGGGTTGCTTGCATTCCGTGACCCCTCCTGCTGGGTGGCTGTTCCAGGGCTGCTGTCTCCCAAGTGCTGTACCTATACATAATCAGCACTGTCAAAGGAACTTAGATGGGCAGGGTTCTGGAGTTGCCGGGACATCTGAGGATTTGTCCAGCCCCAGCACTCAGCCCTGGCAAGCTGGAGGGGTTCACAGGACCACCCCATTCCTGTGGCTTGTGCTTTCCTGCATGTCTGTCACCGTGCAGGTAGGTGAGTCCTGAGGTGTCCTCAGGGATGGTCTCCAGACCATCCAGTGGCCCTGAGTAGCTGGGGCAGGCCACCGTTTTATTGACCAGAACCAAGGGGCCTGGTGTCCCTGGAAGTTCACTTGATCAATCATTCATTCATTCATTCATTCATTCATTCAGTGTTTATTAAACACGTGCAGTGAGTTCCACACTGGGGCTTGAGCCTCCGTAGTCCCTGTAGACAGAGTAAATGGATTTGGAGCTCAGATCAAACCTCTGTCCCCCTCCCCTGTGGCTACTGAGGGTTTGGGGATGGGGATGAGCCAGGCTCAAAGAAGGGAAGTAGCTAGAAAACACGTGCCAATGAAAGTGATTGGCTCAAGTCCTCTGTAAATGGCAATTATGACAGTGGTGACCCTCACTAGCACCACTGATAGGAATTTCAGCTGTCTCACTCAGTGGCTTGCTCACAGTTAATGTGTCCTCAAGAGGCTGGGTAATCCTTTCTCGGGTTACCTCCTTGAGAGATCATGTGCAATGTCTTCTGAGATCCCTTGTAGCTCTAGTGAGCTGCCTTGGTGCCCCCACCTGTGAAGAATGAGCTGGAAAGTGAATCAGCTCCCTGCCCCCCACCACCACCAGGCCCCAGGTGCCATCTTTGGCCCATTTCAGCCCTTCCCTGCCAGGTGCTAGAGACCTGCATCCCTTGACCCGCGCGTCCTCTGTCTCTGAGCCTCACAGGGACACAACTCTGAGGGTTCAGAGCTTCGTTTGGAAGCCTCCATCATGCAGTGAGGCCTGTGTAGGAGGCCGCCCAGCCCAGAGATGGGGGTAGGGGTTGGGGGCGGGTAGGAGTGGATGGGCCCTGGAGAGCTCAGTTCTGACTCTGGCTGTAGCTGGAGATAATGCACGCTAAGCACCTGGCTCTGGGCCATGTTTCTGCAGCTCCTGTTTTTAAAGCAGCAACTCCTAGGAGCTTTGGAGGAGGAGGCGGAGAAGAAAGAGGAAGAACAACAGGACTGTTTCACACCTGGGTGGGGGGTGGGGGTGTTTGCCAGACCTGCAGAATAGGAAAGGACTTATTTCCCACAATCCAGGATGCCCCTTTCCAAAAACTTTAACCTATGGAGTAATAAGAACAGCTACTAACATTGACCGCATAGTTTAAACCCTGGTGCTAAGTGGCTGGCAAGTCCCTGCCCTCAGGTTGCTTGCAGGCCATTTGAGGATGGGGGAGAAGACATGGACGCGATGCCCTGAGTTTAGGGTATTCCAGAAGCCTGGACAGCTGGTAGGGCCCCCCGGGCTGTGCCGGCTGGGGGAAGGCTGGCTCTGCAAGGCTGGGTTGCTCCTCACCCTGTGGGTGATCTAGGCTGGGGGAAGCCCTGAAGTGGGTGCAGCTCCGCCTGACTTCCCATCTTCCCTCTTTTCCTGCTGCTTTCTAGGCAGGGGAGGCTTTTCTTGGTGATGGCAGGTCCCAGGGCATCCTGACTCCTTTTTGGAAAGACATCTCGTGTGCAGACTTCGGTAGCTTTGGTGCTGGGGACACGCTGAGGTGGTACATCGGTTTTGGGTTGGGGGTCATTGGGAACTAAGGGTGTTTCGAGGGGCCCCTTACTGCCTGAGTAACTGAGCCCAGTCCTCAAACAGGACCTGGTGGCTCCTGCTGTTTATGTGGACTGTACCCAAGCCCCAGAACACATGAGGCAGAGTCTCAAGCAAGAGCTCCTGCTCCGGCTGGATCCAGCCACCTGTGTCCCCAGAGTGTCTACCAAGGGGCACTGTCCCAGCTCTGTCCCCACCTGCATGTACATAGTCACCCCCACTGGGGCCTCAGTGCCCACTTCTATAAGGTGAGTTGTCATCAGAAGTGATTTCTAAGGCCCTTTCGGGTTGAGTTTTCCAAGCTGAGGTCACCTTAGTCCCTTTTCCTGTCTGAATGACTACATGTGTCACTCTTAACTTTCCCTGTGCCCTTCATGGGCATTTCACACAGATCTGAAGTTGCCCACAGGAAATGCTGGGACCCCCACGCAGTGTGTTCCAAGAACACTGATAATACCTGAGGTTCTTAGATCCTAGATTACAGGTCTGGCATGGTGCTTAGGTCTTGTGATGGATCACCTCGTGACTCTTCCCACCAAGCCTTCGAGCTGGGTGCTGGTGCCATCCCATTGCTCTAATAGTGAAGTTGAGGTTCAAAGAACTTGACCAGAGTCCCTTAGCCAGTAAGAGAGGTGTGTGTGTGGGGGGCCCCTCTGGCCCTTTCCTATCCTGCCTCCCACATGGAAGTGGGTATGTGAGAAGAGGTTCTATTGCCAAATCTTCCTGGCCAAGTTACTGAGTTAAATACCATTTGCCTTTAAAGCCCATAGAATCCATCTATGCTGGGAAAAAAGGGGGGGGGGGTGGGTGGGAAACCACCATCAAATTCCCTTCTAGTCATAAAAATGGATGCAATTTATTTTTTCTGGCATTCCAATTACATAGACGTTTGTCGCCAGCTGTTTGCTCTAACACAGAGTGTTCTCTCAGCTGCCGTTTCTGCTCTCACATTTGACATCATTAGTCCAAAAGTCTGGCAGGGCCTGGGTTGGAGGGATCATTGGCTGGGGAGCCTCACAGGTGAGCTCAGAGCCAGCTTTCCCCGGAAGGCGAAGGCAGGTGGAACTCAGTCCTCTGATGTTCCCCGGGTGGTCCCAG